CTAAGTAACAGTCTAAACTTAGATACTGTAAAGACTGCAATGTTTTATAGTCACACTTGAATAGTAAAATTGTTCAACTACCCAGTTTGATACACTTTTTCCTCACATGAAAATAATCACTTGGTTTTGACAGTAATAGGTTCCTTAGACTGGGCTGCCTTGAAAATTGATTTCTTTAATGCTTTTTGCTACAGTATGATCAAGGAAGTAGTGAATATCTCGTACTTAATGATATTTTTTTTTTTTTAATAAGAAAAGCACGCTTTGCTGAATGTAAGTGCCGGTCCAGGGAGTTACTGCAGGATGTGCTTGACTTTAGGTACTTCAGTACCTCTTGACATGGCTCATGATGTTATTGTAAGTTAAGTCTTTGTAACAAAAACCGAGTCACAATACAGGAAAATATTTAAGAAGGTACAAGTGCCTTAATGCATGACTGTAAAAATATTAAGAATTCCATTTCTTTGGATGCTGAAATCTATATCAGGGAATATTTTAAATCTAGGACTCAAATCTGCAGATGAGAATCCTAGCTTGTGAGGTTTGTCTTAAAATGGTTCTCAGTATTTTCTGATAGAACAGCATAGATTTTCTGGTAATATTAAAAAATCTTTTGGGATGAAGAATGTGGATGGTAAGAATTTTGAGGGGAAATTACTTTTTTCTTTTTCCATTTCCAGTTAGTTTGAATACTAGTCTGACTTTTCTTGCTTTTTAACAATTTCCATGTTATTTTTTCTTTAGTCTGTATACCTTTAAACACTGCTGCACTGTACTACAGTAATTTATTCCCCAGCTTTTCCCTGATATCTACAAAGCATCAGCTATTATTTTCAGCAGATGGAATGAAGGCAGATGTTTCCATTAATCCAGATTTTTGCCATTCCAGTGAGTTTTCCTGGATAGCTTGCTATTGTTTTACCTTTATTTTTGGCTATTGAAATTCAGTTATCCAGGAGAATACACTCTGGTTTTGTTACTTATATCACTACCCATTTTGTTTATGCAGGACTGCTGCTGCCTATGGTTCTTCCTTCAATTGTGCTTCCATAAGTATGTCCAAGAACCATTTTTCTTCAGCTGGCATTATGCTTCAACTTTGTTCATTAAATCCAGCTTTCTGCATGTGTGAATACAATACAAATAATTTCCTTTGTCATCTTCCTCCTAACCTTTTGTGTACATCTTCCATTTTATCAACAACATAGCTGCTAACATCTTTCATCTTCCTAATCATCCCTATTACTGTTCCTCTACATTACCTGCTTTTTGTGCCATCATATCAAATTCAGTATTCTTTTTCCGTCTTCAGTAAAATTCACCACTACTTCATTAGTTTAATCATGTTTCTTCTGATATCTTACCCTCTTTTCTTTTTCCCTTTGGCATAGTATGTTTGTGCACTTAGACATTTCATCTGTTCTTTTTCATACCAATGCAACCACATCATCCACATTCCATTTCATGTTTAGCTTCTGCTATGATGCCTACAAGGGAAAAGACAGTGAATGCTTATTAATTTATAGGACAACGTGTTTAGGCACTTTGTCTAAAACACTACTTTTTTGTTATTATCTGTTCTTTCCCCTCCATGTTCTGTGCAGTGTTTCCTTCAGATTGTGAGCTTTTGGAGACAGAACCTGGGCTTAAATATGTACTCAGAAATGATGCACAATATCACATCTAACATCATAAGTTTTAAAAAACTTGAATATTATTGATAATAATGGGTTTCCTGGCGGATATTTGGTGTATTTTATTATTAAGGACAACAGGAAAACAACCATGCAAACCTGAAATATAAAATGTTATTTATTAATGTTTTAATTGGTTCAAAATAAACAATGCTTCAATTTACTGTGCTTCAGTTTTCTCTGTGCTTGTGTATGTAAGTTCAAGTACATGATCCTAAGGATGTAATGCTCAGGGGTTGCTTTTCTTAGTGTCTTATGTAGGGAAAACAACAAAGCGAGGCAGGGTCACTGTTAGGTTTTTTATATTCTTTATGAGAAAAAGGGAAAGTTGTACATGATATAACAAACTGAGAATGAGAAATAGAAAGGTTTGACACTGTGGAAGAACAGTTCAGCAATAACCAAAGCATTGATTATGAGCACTGTTTTAGCCAAAACTCCAAAGCACAGCACGACACAGACTGCTACGAGGAAGCAAACTCCATCCCAGTCAGTCCCAGCACCTGAACTTAGCATTTACTTATTTTAAGTTCATTCGAGTCTGTTTTTACATTTGAATTAAATCAAATCACACCAAAATGATAATTCGAGTATTAGTTGCCTGGAAAACCTGAACTTTATGGAGTTTATTTGGAAGATTAGCAGAAGGACCTTCCTCTGATTAATCTTTTTAATACTAATAATTTTTTAATCAATTTATTTTACTTGTGAAAACCCTTAAATTTTTATTTGTAGCAGTATAGTTTTTACTCAATGAAACAAGAAACTCTTCTTATTCCAACCACTGTTTAAACTTGATGGGGAGTTATTGATGAAAAAAGTGTAGTGGGCAGTGATTCTTTGAATGGGGCGAGCCTCATTAAGCATGTAATAGTAGTAGTGCATCTGACTACTTTCTTTATTTTACTATTCAGCCTTATTTCATATCAGTCATAACACACTGCAGGAAGTTATTGTCTGGAAGATTATTGCATTTATCAAAAAATTGAGGTTAAAGTCACCCTATTCCAGTTTTATAATACCATTTATGACTTATGCCTCCGAATGTAGTGTCTGTCTTCTCTTATCAAATAATGTAATTTTACTGAAACTGGAGTGCTTCTGTCTGTATTCAGTCTGTTGGACTCTAGTAAATGGATATCTCATTGCTGAAGAACTAAAGAATGAGGGCTTAGAAATGTCACTTAGAAAAGGGAAGGCCTTTATGGACAGAGTAAGCTCTCTCATTAGTTTGTTTCCGAGACTCTGGCAGTTTAATCTTGCTTTACAAATTAACTTCCCACTGTTGAAAATAGACAGAGAAAATATGATAAATACCAAAAAAATAGTGAATTAATTTTTGCACTTTAGGTCCCTATCAGTAACATAATAACAGTATCACTTAATATAAAGCTACTGAAAGTATTCTGAAAATTAATTAATAGTTGCGAAGAACTGTGTAACTTCAGTAATAAACACTTATGACAACAGAAACCGAGAAGAAAACGGAAAGTGCTGTATTCAAAGCAGAGTTTTAACAGAGTACAATAACTGTGGAGCAAAGACAATAATGAGGTGAAAGCAAAATAGTAAGTAGCTGCTGACTGAGAGTAGTGCCAGCCTGGCGTGGCATTAACTGAGATTCAGGAAGGTAAATATTATATAAAATTATAAACTTTTGTCATATGCATACTTGCAAGATGGAACAGATGGAAATTTTCTAGGCAACTTTAATTTCAGCATTTCTAGTTTTCTGAAAGCTTGACTTTGTGTTTTTGTATATTTTGGGCTTTGGGATTCTTTCACTTCGTCCTCCTCTCTCCCCCATTTTTATTGTGAATATTATTTTGTGCCTGTCAGTTACAAACGTTCCTCAGAAGCAGATAAAACAACATATTGAACTTTCCTTTTCAGTTAGGAAATCTGTTTATGTCCAAATCAACATATGAGTACCTAATTCTTGTTGAGTATTCGTTGCCAAAAATGCATGTGTTTTGTATTTTCTCAGATTATCTTTTCCCATTGCAATTTTATATTCTATTACTATAGAATTGGGCAAATTAAGAGTTAATTGTTTTTAATGCAGACTGCATATTTGAAAAAAAATTCTAATTTATCTTACTTCCTTTTCAAAACCAGGCATCACTGTCTCATATTGCACTCTGTATTAGAAAGCCTACAAATGCCTGAGGGGTTTATGTGAAATTATTTGTATAAACATCTTATAGCTTGTTTCAAGGAAAATACTGTAACATATAACATCCCTTTTTAAAGAAGCATTATTTGACAATTCAGCTATAGCAGTTGGGGATACTGTTACCCAGCTGTTTATGGTTGCCCAGCAAGGAGAGGCTACTTGTTTCACAGTTCAGCCAGCAGAGTAGAAGTGCAAGTTCTCATTGTTCCACTACACTGGCGTCAACAATGGCTTCAAAATATGTAATTAGCAATTAGGTTAAATTTGCTAATTTTGCACTTAGGTAGATCAAGTTAAATTCCTCTGGCTGTACACTGAAGAATTGTGTTTCTGTCAGGAATACAATACCTTGCAAGATTCTAGGAATAAAAAGCCTTGAATTTCTGTCAGTGTGGAAAATGATTCTGTCTCTTGAGTACCAATCAGGTTTCATTGTTTTTTCCTGTAAGAATGGAAGCCTTATGCCACTTTTCTCTGTTTATATTTTACTGAACATTGAATCATGTGGTTTGCTTGTTTCATCCAGGCTTTTACAATGGTGCCTTTCCTATTCATATAAATAAAAGCAAACAATTAAAAACAGCCCTCAGCATTTTTGAAGTTGTTCTTTTCATCAGCAACATGCTGTCAGTAGTGATGAGCAACTGCTAAAACCCGTTTTCTTTCTTCTACATACTTTCTTATGTATTTTAATTTCTGGGAAAAGCAAAAATAGGATCCAAGATCTAACAATGAATAGATTGCTTTACCCGATGTTTTATATATATATATATATATATTAGATAAAGTTAACTACTTTTTTTACTTAGCAATTATAAAATTCAGGATTTAGTTTCATCTCTACAGTAAAGGGAATACTGATGATCTACAGTTGTACTCCTGCATTAGGTGCAGCCAAGGAATGATGTAAGCAGGTCACCATCAGGTTGCACAGTTAAATACTTCCATCCTAGGTGAAGCTTTGGCTATAAATGTGCCCATCTGCCTCCTGTCCAAGATCACAAGGAGAGATGGAGACTTTGAGATAGCAGTCATTGTTTTTAGGTGTTAGGTCAACTACTGTGTTCTTTTTAGCTTTTTCTGGATAAGGTTATTTCCTAAAGTGAATGTATATATATTATTGATTGTAGGATGGAATGGGAAATTTGAGAGTCACTAAAAAAGGAATACGACTTGAAGGAATATCTGAATTTCTACTTCCACTATATGTGAAAGAAATCCATTCCCGGAAGGTAGGTGTTTTTCATCTTTATTTCTTAATTTACAGCTAATATAAATTGATCTTTTCAGTCTCAAACTACAAAGTTTAATTCTTTCACCTTCTAGATTAGCAATCAGTAGAGGTTTGCTTTGAGAGTGCCTTAAGAGTGAAAGCTTCCTTCATGTCAAAAATGATTTTTTTTTCTGAAACCTTACTTGCCTCTTAAAAGAAATGTCTTATCCTAATGAAAGGAGATTCAAAGCATGTATATTTTATACTTCAAATTACCTCAGTACTGGGAATGGAACAGTTGAGTCTTCATTTGATGTGAACTCCAGAAAAACAAGACTGGTGATAAGTGCAAAATGCAGTGAAATAAGGAATGGTTTTGTTTTTTCTGGTATTAGACATAATGATTTCTTTTTCATTCCCGTTTTTTATTTTAATTTTTGTTTTCTTTTACTCATTAGGGAGGGGCAAACTTTCTGTATTGAATAATGTCTCTAGGATTAATTTTTTCAAAGCAAACCCTTTTTAATATTGTTTAAATGTAATTGTTTTATCACATAACAGCAAGAAAACCAAGTTATTATGTATTAAGAAATTCATTGTAGCTCATTTTAACTCTTGTTTTGATTTAGTTATGCTGTTTGTATTAACACTGTCAATGAAATAAAAAAAAAAAACAATTTTGAAATACTGGAAATCTCTAAATTCTTTTTACCATGCAACTGATGACCTATGATCACAGAGGAATGTTACAATGGTTTTCAGTTAACCATCTGCAAAGAATTTTAATATGCATACTGCAAAAGTTGACAGGAATCAAAACTATGTTGACCCTAAATGCCTTTGTGACAAATTTTGTTGTTTAAAACCTGTCTTCTATGTATATAAGGAAAGTCTCAAGTATGTTAATAAATGAGATCATGACAGATTCCCATTTCTCCTAATTAGTTCACTCTTGTGTTTAGAAATCTGTGAGGTAGTCTCTCTTCTTTTTCTGTAAAACTAAGATCTTTCAGTGTTTAAGAGAGTAGCAGTATTGTCCTATTTAATGAAAACTTTTATAATATTTAAGTAACCTTCCAGGCAAGCATACTTTTCCTTCAAGGTTGCAGAACATTAGTCACGATGTGTGTATTTTTCCCATTTCTTTTCTGTGAGTGGATGGTGTGTGTTCTATTGTTCCATGCCCTATTACTGTACATGGGAGTTACGATTTGGAATATTTTCTTGCACAGTGCTTCATATTGCAGAACATTAGTTCTGTTAAAGTGAAGATGGAAACTTTTTGTTTCAAGTGAGAGTAATAAGAGACCCAAGTAGGGTCCTAATTTCATTTAGCTGCTACCAAATCTCAGAAAAAAAATGCACACAGATGTAACTATTGCAAAAGAACAGGATGCAGAGTCTACCAGAAGCCTAATATAAGGTCCCACTAGTCTTGTGAGACTCATGAAAAACATATAGACTTGTCAGTAAATGTTCTCAAACCAGAAGATAGAGCTATAACTGTACAAAGTAGTTCAAGTAATATATTTTTGGTGTTCCAGGTCTACTTATATGTATTAATATTAAAGCACTTGTTACCTAGATAAAAAAGTGGTACTTATACAGACTTCATTCTCATCTTGCAGCACTTGTGAACTAGGTTCACTTTCCAGTCTTTTGCCAACTTGCTCAGTAGTTTTTACACTAAAATTTCAGTAACTTGTGGTGTATGCAAATGTGAATGTCATGACTGAATGACAAAGGAAACCTCTGGAGCTGTATTCAGCTTAGCACTAGGAATTTGTAATGTCTCTGTAGGATATTCCCACAGGTGTGTGGCATCTGCATGTGACATTAGCTGTTTTGTCACTTACCAAATTGACCTTGCTACTGTAGAAATCTAAAAGTAAGCTAGGTTGCCTGAGCTCCCATTACAGTCAGCAGAGACTTGGGTAATACAGATGAGAATGCTTTTACTTGCTTTTTCCATGGAAGAAATAATGATTTAAGTTTGATGTATACTGGATTAAAATGTACTGTGAAATTGACAACTCATCATTTACGTTCTAGGAGGAGAGTTTGCTCTCTAAGCAAATTTACTCATTCCCCTGTAAAAGAACACATCCATTAAAGTGACATTGTTGGATTAACTCTTGAGATGATTTGTAATAAATATATTCAATAGTAACTTTGCAAAACAGCACTCCGCAATGGTGACACAGTTTGTAGAATGGCCTCTGAGACACCTCTGTGTAGGGCTGTCAGACCAGGAGGTCAGGGCTTCACTGTTCTTCCATTATTTGGCACAAAGCAGAGTGAGGTGGGTAGACCAGCAATATAAGCAGCGAGGTACAGCAGTGGGTATGCTGTGTTATGGCTAAGGGGCATGAGTGGAGTTCTTGCATGATTGCTGGAGCTTTCTTTTAGTAAGCTAGATCTGAAGCTAATAACACATGTTCGTTGGTAGAGGAGGGTCCACCTCTGATTCTGACAGTGAACTACTTCGAGTTCCAGGCAATCTGTTGAGTAGCTAGGCTGAAATGAGCTCTCTGCTGCAGCAATTTAAGTGTGAGGGTGATGAGGTTTGCTAGTGTAAAGTTCACATATGGTTACAAATGCTGAAGTAGCCACATTTACCTGCTGCAAAATGATGTCCAAATAAGATCACTTATGCAGGGTTAAATGCAGACCTTAAATTGCCTTTATCAGGAGAACTGCATTGAACTTTATATATAAGTTGAAAAATTGCCTTTTATCTTGTGATTGCTTCATTAAAGCCCTGATTACTAAAAGTAAATGCTAAAATACTTAGAGTTAAGTCGGTTGGAAAACTGATATGTGTGAATTCTTAAAAACAAAAATTCTAGTGATGTTTTCTCCTGACAGTATACAATTTTTTTATCAAAAAGTAGTAATGAAAAATCCAGGTCTTGAGTAAAATGAATATTTCCTTTTTTGTCTGCAGAAGTTACATAAATGAGAAGGCTACTCAGACTGTGCTTTTTCCCTAACCCTGCTCTTCTTGCTTTGCTCTTTTTTACCCTATGCAGTTAGTGGTGTCCACAGAACCATGGGTTCCTACCCCAATCCCATGTTTACATAGAAAAGAAACTTCTGTATTTTCATCAAATGACTTCACTGCATGTCAAAAGCTGGACTGATGCATCAGAACCTGAGCAGATATGGGGTCATTTGATTCTGAATTGACATCTTTCCCTTTTGATCAAATTGCTGGTCTGAAACCAGTAAATTTCATCTAGACTATATTACATTTTCCATGTTTATATAATTTGCATTGATATGATGCAAACAAACAATGCAAACTACATTCTTTATGGTGTATCATTAATAAGATGTATGAAATCAAGTAACACATAATGCAGAATCCAATATTTCAGTTCTTCTGAATAATCATTATACTACTGCATCCTTATCATTATACTAGTGCACTTTTGAATAGAGGCAATCAAGTTAAAGTTTTATTAGTTTGTTATATAACAATAAAAGCTATTCGTGGTGTTTTCTTGAGAATGTATTCCTGGGTTTATTAATCTATTTCATTCTCACGTACCATACTTAAAAACCAAAGAAAATCAAGTTATCTTTTTGTTACATTGTTTCCATTACCTAAAAAGAAGTTAGTCATTGTCCATTAAACTAGAGGGAATTGCTTTCATTTTTTTTTGCATAAAAAAATATATTTTCTAAAATAAGCATGTGTTTCTAGAGATATCCTTAGAGAACACTGAATTTAATAATTCAGTTAAAATTCATGCTAAAATGTCTAGAAAACAAGAAATAGAGAATAAATATAAACTTCCAACTGAACAGTGGAAACTCTGAAAACTGTCTATGTATCTTGTATTTTAAAATGTATGTGAACTAAGAAATTGTAGATGGGTTTCAAAGCAGGACTTCCTTCAGGTATTTGTTCTCTCCAGATTTTCACTGTGGAGACTGAATATCCTTGTAAATTCTTAGAAAGCTTTATTTTACTTTGTTTTATTTCCAAACCTGGATCCATCTTCATAAAAGCAAATCTACAGTATATTTCTTTCTTCACTATCTCTCTGTGTATAATCATCAACATAGAATTAACCTTTGCTGATTTCAGCCAGCACATTGTACATATTTAGGTTTATGTTTGTGCCTTTGTGAGAACTTCAAATTTTTTTTCTGAGACAATGTCTTTGTTGACCTTCTCTGTCTGATGGAATTACAAAGATGCAGCATAGGAGATCACATCAAAAAGCCTTTATGAAGTTGAGGAAGAACATACATTCATCTTGTCCATTGAACCAGTCTTCTCTTTTTGCAAGACCACCAAATCAGGTGCTCCTTGCTGTTACTAACCCCATGCTTGTTTTGTACCGTCTTCTTTCCCTGGCTACTTTGTAATGGTTTTCAGGAGGCTCTCCTCCACAATCTTTCTAGGAACTGGTATGAGACTGACTGGCCTGTAGTTTCCAGAGTCTTCCCTCCTTGCAAGATGTTGCTACACTCTTTAAGGGCCTAAAAGCGTGCTGTATTTGTTGACTGAACATATTCCCCCATCCTCCATTTAAACATGTCCTTCTAAAATTTCAAGGCCAGGTTTGCTATATCCTCTCTCTTTTCTGCTCTGTAAGATACACCACTGCCATGCAGCCAAACTAGTTTGAGAATCATGCAATCCTACTACTACTAACATATATACGTATCAGAGAAACTCCATTTAGGAGATATCACTGCTCACCCTTTTTGTAATATCAAAAAAATCACAATGGTATCTAAGAATCTGCCGTTGTTATTGCTCAGTGTGAAGTACAATACTTGTTTCTGTAGCTACATGTCACAATCTGCTCAGATAAAACTTGAAATGCTCCCCAGTTCATTTTTGTACCTGCTCTTCAAACCTTGCCCTTAGGATCATTCACCTGTCACTAAGGATAAAGCCATTATTGTCCTGGTTTCAAAAACCCAGATAGGCGTAGAGGACTCCTTAAGTCATTTTGGCTATCAACACGATGTAGTTCCAATAGTGTCACTTTTATTGGC